CCCGGTTGTACGTGCAAGGAGTAGGGTTGCTTCCCAACCTAGTGGGTTTTCTCATGGTGCTCCGGTTTCCTCCCATTGCTAAAGACCCCAACGCGTAAGCGAATTATTGAAATAAAATTGAAACATGTATTAGTCTCGATATGACCTACTTTCTATCGAGTGGACGTTAAAACCCATCTCTCCCTCTCTCTCTCTCTCTCTCTCTCTCTCTCTCGATATAAAATTGAATTAACAATTGAAAATCTATTTAATTGATAGTACATACTACACTTATAAAGTAAAAATACCGAAAATTGAGATAAAAATGTTACGTTTATTCATACCCCATGATTTTAACTCTAGCGACAGAGCGAAAATGGGGTCTAAGCTCCACTGGACACAAACTAACATATGGTGAAGCATGTATGAACATCTTGACAAAGTTAACGTATTCCATTCAATCGTTAGCAAGGATGATTTTGAATTGATAGAGAGAAAAATTACGTTTAGAGTCCATGCGTCACAAACTAAGTCATTTTGCGACCAACATATGGTACAATTTCAATTTAGTAATTCGCTTGTGTGAAATAAAATGAAATGAAATGGGGTTTAACGTCCTACTGTTCTGCTCCGAATGGGCTAATGAAGACGGGCATACCACAGGCATTTGAAGGGATTAAAATAAAACTTCTTACTATTGCTTGACTATATATTATAGTATAATATATAGTCAATAGTATAATCTATATAGTCAAGCAGTAGTAAGAAGTTTTATTTTAAATATAGTCAAGCAGTAGTAAGAAGTTTTATTTTAATCCCTTCAAGTGCCTGTGGGGCATACGCCATACAGTGTGCTATGAGGGAAATTTTGCCCGGGCAGCGGCACTATTACCTACTCTTATATCGAATTCCATCTGTCAAGGGATCTTTTACGAGCACGCCAATGTGTGCACGGGACCTCGGTTTTTCGTGCCATCTGAACGACTAGACAACTGTGCTTGTCAGGCGCTCCGTCCTGCACCACTGACAAGGGGAAACTACGTCGGAAAACGCTTGTGTGAACACAAAAAATCGATATGTGAACAGAGAAAATGTATAACATTAAACCATGTCACGTACAAACTTAAAAAGTAGCTAAGTCTCTAACTCAATATCATCCAAAGTCTTCGACATTGAAATCACAAATTATTTGTCAATTTAAATCAACATTGATGTTGTGATCTTACTGGGAAAAGATGGACTTCTGATATCTAATATTTAAGACAAAATAAACATTTCACCATTGGTACACGAATCGTGTACCATAAAGCGTTTCACCGTCATTTGTAACAAGGGACTCGAAAAACGAGGCTAGGCATATTCCACAAGTCATGTCAAACGGTAACGTCATATTCTTATTTGGAGAGCATGCGCAATAAATACTATCAGTGTAGACTGGAATAACAAGACCCTAGAGATTGCCATTCGATCGAGACTTCTGGCGTATTTCTCCGAACATAACTAATTTAAAATTAGTGTAAAAACGGAAACAATTGAATGTAAATCAGTTTATATACACTCATATTACATTATTATATGCGTTGCGACCCATTTGTGTCAATTTCTAGATCCCAAATATTAGCGACTTAGCTTCTTTAACTCAATGACAGACTTTATGATAAATAGCGCACGTCTTGGATCTCTGAACATCCTTAAGCACCCTATTTTGATTTATTAATGGATGACAAGTTTCATATAAAATGTATATGAATATGATATAGACATGAAATATGACACACGAGTCAGTTAACAATGTTATATGAAATGACATATAGTCATGAAAGGTGAAATATGATACACGATTCGAATTCAGAGGAGGCATTATTGAAATTTTATTGCAAAAAATGGTTGATATTCCAAAGGTACAACGTTGAGGGAACCATTTTTGCAATGAACTTTTAAGAGTGTATCCGCGAGAAGACCATGCAAAAATCGCAAAAAAGTGCTAAGATGGGGGGTCGGAAGTTTTTGATCAAACTTATGGTATGACACCCCCTAGGGTCAAGAGGTAACATACTGAAGTGGTTACAGTCTGTTGTCGCTCTAATTGCGGTTTTCACATGTGTATTTATCACAGACTGCATTCTATGGTGGAATAGCAACCTTCTAATTTTCACCGTCTGATAAAGCGGGCGGTCAACTTCCACCCCAGCACTAATTTGAAAAAAAAAATCAGTACATACTAATTTTGTGTGGACTTGTTTTAGGGTACCATATTCACATTGTCCTTATAGTGCAGAAAAACATACACTGTAACTTTTTCTTTCATGGTCACAAGTAGAATTTCTTTGGATGGTTTTGAAGTGCTAAGCACATAGTATCCATAGGTGTAAAAATAATGACCGGAATGCAACATACTTAAAATATACAGCTCATTGAAAAGTGCTAAAATAGGTAATTGTGATATATTTTTTTGCAAATTTGATTAGAGAAATAACATTTTTGACTTTTATACGTTTTCATCATATCCATAGTCATTATTTGTACCATGTTGCACTCTATATAAGTGTGTATTGGTATTTATTGTATATTTGGTATTGTCGTATTGTCCCTTTAACATATTTGTTGTGTTGTCTCTTTAAGATTTCATTTTCAAACAGGTTACCGAAATTGGCTACAAAATGTTTAATTTCAGAGCATGTTTCCACTATTCATTTTGGGACACATCCACTGATTTCTACAATACAGAAATGTGGAAGCTTAAATATTAACGGCAACGAAGCCTTGCGTCGAAGTGGGTGACATTGAACAGTGTAGTATGGTAGCTATAGCTCTCGGGCACCGTCAGCGGCACCTTCAGGGCCGGATTTAGAATAAGAGAGGCCCTAGGCAAACCCCCTGAACAGGGCCCACGACATGGACCTTGGGGCCCTGGGACAAGCAAGAGGAAGTCATGCGGTTGGTGGTTCGAATCTCACTTTTAGGTGAATTTTTCATTTTCGTTGGATTATTTTATTTAAAATAATGTCTATTTGAGAGTAATGGATATGTTGTTGAGATTGAACATGTCGATACTCCAATGGAAGCTCGTGGACAACTGCGGAAGCCAATTCCCGTCGATGCCAGATGAGACATGAATGATTACAGGCCTTTAAAAGTATTTTTTTTTCAAGATATTTTTATAAAACAGACACTGATGTATTTTAGGGCTGGTAGTAAACACCATATGAATGAAAAGGAAAACAAATTGTTAGGGTTTTTTTATCTACTACGGTTAATTATCTCCAAAATAGGGAAACTACGGATTACCTAGTTTTTGTCAAGTCGATTCCGGTCATTTTTATTTTTTGTATCAAATGTTGGGAGGTTGCTTGTTCACGTGAGCATAAATTTTTTAAACCCACCCCATGAAAGAAGTAGCTATAGGGCGTCAAACTTTGGGTGACGAAAAATGGGGAATTTAGACAGGCGTTGATATCCAGTCCGTATACAGATCTCGTTCGCCAGAATCGTCTGAAGTTAATATTGTGGTAACAGCACTGAGTCATCTACAAACTGTGTGAGTTTGGTCTTTCTGCTACGTATAGTAAAGGTGTAAGGACTTGCCAAAGTTGGTATTTGAGAAAAGACGGATTTTGGCAATTTCACCATATGAAAAATGTTTTTTCAATTTTCTCAGTCAGGAATTGAAAGATTTATCTAATATTGCACATTTATGTGTTTTGTCACTATCCCAACTTATAACCCAAATTTGGTCAAAATCTGTGATTGAAGCCTTAGCACCTTTTGCATGGTTTTCTCATGGACACGCTCTTAATAATGAAAAACTGTTATTACTTTCATTAAAAATGTGTTTTGAAAATGATGTTTCTGGTGATAACAGACATGAGAGATAGAGAAAAATGCGATTTAACGTCCACTTGACACAAACTAGGTCATTTCAGAACTAACACATGGTTCAATTTTATTTCTTTAATTCGCTTGCGTAGGGGTCTTTAGCAGTGGGAGGAAACCAGAGGACCCGGAGAAAACACACGAGGATGGAAGGTGACCCTACTCTTTGTCAACGGTCATGGGAACTTTCAATCGCCGTTACAGATTGATAAATGAATAAATTTTAACCGACTTCGATTTATAAATTCTATATTCTATTCGTACAGAAGGTGACATCGTTTAAAATTTTAAAAGGCTACCGACAAAACCCATGCTGATAGCAATTAGGTCTAGTATTATATTCTCTTCCCTTGTATGCAGCTTTTATACTGTCTATTTATATCAGTGCTCTGAATTTACGCCCAACCATATATATATTTGTACCCGTCCAAATTGTTTGTACTTGTATTTAATGCTTTATATAGTGCATATGCTGTCCTGAACAAAGGACGTTTCGATGCAATAAACATTCTATTCTATTCTGTTCTATTCTCTACCAAGCATAATACAGAATTCGATAATTGAACTTGTATGTAATGGAGTGGTATGACAATAATAAATCTCGAGCACTTAGGTGAAAGTTGCGCTATAAAAATACACTACAGAGAGAGAGGGACATGGAGTTTAACGTCCACTCGACACAAACTAGGTCATTTCGGGACTAACACATGGTTCAATTTTATTTCAATCATTCGCTTGCGCGTAGGGGTCTTTAGCAGTGGGAGGAAACCGGAGGACCCGGAGAAAACCCACGAGGTTGAACAGGCGACCCTACTCCTTGTCACGTACAACCGGGGAATCGAAACCCCGCCAGTTGACTCAATGACAGACCGTATGATACAGCGCGCGCGTGCTAACCATTCGGCCATCCAACCCCACAAATACACTACAATTAATAATAATAATTTAATAGTAGGCTATATCAACAATCATATCTTGGTCACCCGAGTAGGCCAAATATATATACCATATCGGAATATGGTTCTACTTATAACATATATCCGACTATCCTATTTATATTACTGTGTATGATCCAGCAGCTATAACCTGGTCGCATTTATAGTTTTTAAATCTAATGTGTAACACGCCCCCTGCTGTGACGATTATACACACACACACACACACACACACACACCAGGACTTGTAAACATAACTTAACACGTCTGCTCACAGTTACGTCAACTGCTCAGTAATGGATGCGATGTTGTTACGCCCAGGGAAAAGAATGTATCTCTAAATTGAAATGAAACATGGAAAATTAGTGTCAACTGCACGCGTGCCATCTTGTGTGAAGATATGTGTGTATAACCCGGATTTTGTGACCACTGACTGAAAGAAGGTAAATTGTTTTTAGTTTAATTTTGTATGTTTATCTCAATCATGTCTGATATAAGTTTATATTTGTTTACACGGCGTTTCATCGTAAGAGTTTCTTACTAACGATACAAAAGTCGTAATAGGACCAGCAGCAATAGCAGTCTTGAATCTGCCCGAGTTTGGGGTTGTGATACGCCATTATTAGCAAGAAACTTCGAACGACTGTTTCAACTCATCGTACTAAGTTGTAAGACGTTCTTTTGTTTTAAATCAAAGGGACATTGTGCCGAGAATGGGAACGTGAATTTGTCACTTTGTTTGTTGAACTAAAGCAAGTATTCCTTTCTCCGGGTTATTGCACACAAGTAATTATGCCGTTAGGTACAACGAGGTCTGATTTTAGCATAGAAGTGGCACTTCTAGAAACCCCTATTATGCTCTATACTGATCCCTGGGTTGAGACACAGACACGTTTTCCTTGCGCGAATGGTGATAATGGGATATTGGATACGACGGTTGTATTAACATCTTCCATTTCTATGTAATACCTCGCTGGTTTGCGCAAATAAAATTAATTGTCAGACCATTTATGCCCCTATGTTTAAAAATAAGATATATGTTAGAGTAACGTCCTTGTTGAATAAGTATGCCGAAAATAATAAAGAGAGAGAGAGAGAGAGAGAGAGAGAGAAATGGGGTTTAACGCCCACTCGACACAAACTAGGTCATTTCGGGACTAACATAATATGGTTTAATTTTATTTCAATAATTCGTTTGCGCGTAGGTTTCTTTAGCAGTGGGAGGAAACCGGAGGACCCGGAGAAAACCCACGAGGTTGGACATGCGACCCTACTCCTTGTCACGTACAACCGGGAAATCGAAACCACACCAGTTGACTCAATGACAGACTTTATGGTACAGCGCGCACGACGTCGTGCTAACCATTCAGCCATCCAACCTCCCAAAATAATAAAGAAGACGCTGTGTAAATGTATACGTATGTATAAGATCAACGATAAATAAATTCATTGTTAATACATGTCAATTTGGAGCATAACGTGAGTTTTAAATTTTATAATAACCAGAAGCCTTTATGAAGGGTTCTTCACGTTTCACTGAGTGTCCTTTTATCAAGATAAATCTAGAAACATCAGATAAATCTATACAACCAATCAATCTTCGTGGGGTGTAGGGGCTTCACGCTCTCAGAGAAAAAAAAAATGAAAATTTAACCGCAACAAATGCGTTTTCTGCTATTTTAGCCCGTGATTTAAGCAACTTCAAAGTTTGCAATCGGTTTCCAAACGAAATCCCACTCTATGCCGACCTGAATTCCAACCATCCAATCAGACTGTTGCAGCTGCATTCACAAAAAAATAATTCATGCCTGAAAAATGTCTCACAAAGTAGAGTGACTCCAGACAAAATGCATTAATCCATAGTCAATTCAGTATAAATTCGTGGTATTCAATTAAAAGAAAAGTAAAATTAGTGTGTTTTTAGATTTCGGACACTTTATTTTGTCAAATAGATGAAACATTAATTTTTATTTTCACTTTACCCGTCCGCCCGAAAAATAAGATTGCCCAAAAGTTAGGGGGAACCCCGCCCAGGACTCAACCATATAGTGTAACGGTGATGCATTTTAACGGTTTTGAAAAAAAGATAAAAAAAATGGTGACTTCTAGAGGGTTCATAAGCTAAAATCGTGATATTTCGTAAATTAGAGGTCATAGTCCAGAAAGCTACGATCCAATACGTGCCAATATCGAAAGGAACCCAGGCTATAGGATATATCAAAATTTGACAAAAATTCGAACCTCTGGCCCACAACCTGGGTATTACATGCTTTTAAGGGTAGCAGCCATTTTGTCGGACAGTTTCGGTCCGATTTTCGCGAAATTTGAACTCAGCCGTAATTATAGTGCAGCGGTGATATATTTGAACGGTTTTGACAATGAAATAGAAACTGTGAGGTTTACAGGGCCCACAAGCTAAAAATGGCGAGATCTTTCGGTTATGAACATACATTGTCAGCTTCATTAAAATTGTAAAAGAAATTGTGACCTCTAGAGTGTCCACAACCTTGGAATTATTAGCATCGCAGGAAACCGGAATCGAATGTGCTTGCAAGGTAAGTAATTTGGAAAAGAAATAAAATTTCACTTCATTGCTGGGTAATTTCTTTAGCCAGAAAGCGTTGTAGATCCACAAGAGCTTCCGGGCCTAGGCGGCCCCAGGACCCTCGTTTAAAGTCCCTCTCCAATTAAGAATTGCTTCCGCCGGCCCTGCTAAAGTTTGCCAGATACCAAAGTAAATAAAAGCATAATTCAAACAGGTTAGACACTAGAATATGTCCACTCCCACCTTTGTCATGTGTATTAAATTTGGTGAACAGATTCTTAAATGGCACAAAAATATCAACCATATATATTTCGCTTTGAAAGTTTTTATGAAAGAAGGAATTGTAGATTTGTTCACGTGTCCTTCAGTAATCAATCCGCTTATTTCGTTTCGTTCATATTTCGTTTTATTCGTCTTCGCGACGGTATGGAATAACAAATATATGGTAGACGGGTGCTGAAATTTAATACTATCGGGTACAGCCAGGCGATACGTTTCAAGTCAGTAGCTTGAAGCGTATATATGGTATTAGTGTCAGTGGCCTGTGGCACGAAGTAACAGTATATTGTCTTTTATTTACAGGGACACTTTCTATTGTTAAGGGGGTGGACCGGTCCCCATGGTCCAACCCCTGGATCCGCTCTGATGACGCGTACATTCCACTGAGTCTACAGGTCTAATATGCTAACACGCTTGGAGCGTCAACACAATATATTATGTCGCCCAAGCGTTGACATAATATATTATGTATGCGACAATATACTGTTACTTCGTGCCACAAGCCACTGACACTAATACCATATATACGCTTCAAGCTACTGACTTGAAACGTGCAGGGTGGTACAGCCTACTATATTACATCGCATCAAAAAGTTCATTATATAATTATGTAAGTTAACAATGGCATTTCATTTTTTTTATACAATACTGTCTTCAATGTAATTAACATCTGACTTATTTTGATAGAGGGTGGGGAGTGGTGGTGGCCGAATGGTTAACGCCGGCGCGTTGAATCAGAAGGTCTGTCATTAGGTCAAGTGGCGTGGTTTCTATTTCTCGTTTGTACGTGGCAAGGTGTAGGGTCGGCTGTTTTTTTTCGGGCCCTCCGGTTTCCTCCCACTGCTAAAGAGCCTTTTGCACAAGCAAATAATTTTTCAAATACACTTGAACCGTATGTTAGTCCGAAATGACTAGTTTGTGTCGAGTGGACATTATACAGTCCAAACGTTGCCTATTTTACACCCCCTCCCCCCTCTCCCTCTCTCTCTCTGTCACCCCCCCCCCCCCTCTCTCTCTCCTGATTATACTCCACGTTCAGTTCACGTGAACGTTTTGACCAATCAAATTCTCTGTAGTGGCATACGATATAGCGCATTATAGGAAGGCGTTTACATTAGTTGTTCTAATTGTTTGGAATACGATCGTGTAATGGAATTATAATGATATTAACTTGTTCGGATTACAATGTAATTTAAAAATCAGAAAACAAACACACACGAAATGAAATTGTAATAAATCAGACTGGTGAGGACCTGGCAAGGAAAATCGTCTAGTTCTCTCTGGTCGGGGTTAGGGTCTGGCAATGAACAGCGTCTAGTTCCCTATGGTCAGGGTTAGGGTCTGGCAAGGAACAGCATCTAGTTGCCTCTGGTTGGGGAAAGGGCCTGGCAAGGAAGAACGTCTAGTCCTTTGGATGTGACGAAACCTCGAAGTCTTAAGTACGTAAAAGAAGCCCTGACAGTTGCAATTCGGCAAATGTAGGACAAAATGCTTCTTATAGCACACTACATGACGTATGCCCGTTTTCATAATTCCGATTGGTGCAGAAAAGTAGGCCGATAAGCCCTATTTTTAGCAATTCAATTCAACACTTTATTTTGATTGACCTTAATTAAAGTGGTGCTGACCCTTTAAAGAAAATTTCCGTTCCCCGGATGTACGCGACAAGGAATATGGTCACTTGCCCAGCCTCGTGGGTTTTTTCCGTGTCCTGCGGTTTCCTCCCACTGCTAGAAGTCCCCTACGCGTAAGCGAATCAATGAAATAAAATTGTACAATATGTTAGTCCCAAAATGACTTAGTTTGTGTCGAGCGGACGTTACCCCCCTCTCTCTCTCTCTTTCTCTCTCTCTCTCTCTCTCTGTCTCTCTCTGTTTAAAGAAAATCTTGGATACAGACAGTGACGATCAATAAGGTACAAATGTCTCTTTAACATTGTTTACATTTTGAGGCCGAAGTGTTTGTCACACTGACATTCAGTTGGCTATTCAAACAAACGATAAGGCAGTGAATACTTTCTGTCGACAAATTAACAGCCAAAGCATTCTTATCAGTCGAGGGCATATGCATTTCCCGTCTCTGACAATGGCCTTGAAGATATCGAGTAACGTAACGACATATATATGACTTCCGCGTGGGCATAAAAGTTTTCAACAAATATCATAAAATAAAATTTGCATTTTCGGTTGTAATTATTGCATCTGCAAAGCAACACCGTTAATAATGTCGTCTGAGGTCGCGAAAAGTCCTTTAACACACGAATAATCACCCCCGGAAGAGGTTTAATTATTCCAAATATTTACGAGTATGCATATGAGTTTGAGGGGAGTGAAATATGATAAAACGAACTCGACAAAATGTCTCTTTAATATGAGATAGCTGTCGTTTACACAGTTCACACTGAACGGAAATCATGAACTAGGACGACCGGGTAATTATTACAGTTGAATCCGTTTTTTTTCAACCAGGTCATGTCAGCCTTCCATTGTCGCTTCTAGAAGTCTTAAAAATAAAGATGGATTATTCAAGAGCTAAATCTGCCTAATGCAGGTTTTTCGTTTGGCCTCAAATGCTATATAAATCATTAATTAGACATGTATTTACATGCCAGGCCCATTA